TCCAGCGCCCATCACAGTCGGCCTCAATAGTACGAATACCGTAGGGCAGCGCCAAAAGGGACCATGCTTGAACCCGACAAGGGGCCTTTTTGGTTGCGTTTGCTTCAAGAAAATATCACGATGTACGGGCCGAGGGGTTGACGGAGGGGTTGACGGAGGGGCCGGATCGGGGGGGGACGTTAAACTATGGCATCTTCAATGTTCCCCAAGAGGGGCATATCCGATGGAGAGAAGGGTTGAGACTTGAAAGGGGATCCTGGATGAGCATCACGAGTCTCTTGCTTGTCAGAGATTCATCGCCAGGTGACATCTGAAGAGTTAAGTACCGTGTCTTGGCGTACATCCCTTCGACGGTAAAACGTAGGTATTATTTCCTGCCAAGACACAGCTGGGCCAATTAATCAACTGTTTCAGGTAAGATAGCTAGGAGCCTGCTATCAGTCCAATAGCCCTTGTGTCCCGTCATGCCCGTAACCTCTAGAAGTGGAAGCAGTATCAATCTAGTACACGGGCATTCTACCATGAAAAGGATACTGTACCTGTTCAAGTGCGCACGGGGCACCAGGGCCAGGTATGGTGGGTTCCACGTTAGTTTTCAGTGGGGACCTACTTACGGGGCCCGGGTCGGTCGGTCGGGTGTTCGTCTCAAAAGGCTACAGCTTTTACCTAGCGAGGTAGGAGCATCCGGGCAACGTCTGATCACATTCAGTTGATTCTCGATGCTACAGGCGACGGACACCTCCACTACCTCTATGGATACAATTGAATCGTCAAGACATGCCGAACCGTGGTCGCCACCCTGGATCTGCCGTCTTTGTGCAATTCTCGGAGCCTCACTCCCATATGCTTCTCCTCAAAGCCAGATCGACGATGAGCATTTCTGAATAGAAGTGGACGGCAGTGGAAGAGAGGTGTGGGAGCCGTCGAAACTTGAAATCCTGTGCCGCCAGAGTGGCCGAGATGCAATTCAATTTGACAAGTGACGGCTCATTAAAAACGCCACATCCCGTTTGGCAGGGCGCGAGCGCGCAAGGATGCGGAAGCTCATCATCATCATCGTCTCGACCATCCCTCAGAGCCAAGGCCTCTCAAAGACGGCCTTGGTGCTGTATAGGGTATAGTCCCCTTATGTCCCCTTCACTCCTACGCTCCCACCTGGAAGCGCGGGTGGGAGAGAGCAAAGTTGGTGTGTTCGATGAAGGTCGGATATGAAGACCGGTGAAGGTATCGTCACTCTCATATAGATCTGGGCATATTCTCAGCCTTTCCTCCGCCGACTAACACGTTGGTGTTATAGTCTCCTTTGCTATAAGTCGTAGCCATTTCCCCGCCCACCTTGAACACACAAAGCACACTCTCCGCATGACCATACGCACGAATTCCTGTCTTCTCGGCTCGTGTGCATCGTTACAGGACCATGTTCCATCTTGGCGTTTCTTGCATCATGTGCGATTGGGTCTTTTGGCGCGTGCCTTGCCTAGACTTTCACCAAGAAGTCACTTCCCAATTTCCCGCTCCTCAGCTTCTACCCAGCTACGACTATGTCCTTCCGAGCTCCTACTGAGAATCAGGAATGAAAGCCGGGCCTGAACTATGGCAAGCAACATTGCAAAGCAACATTGCAGAATGTGCTATTCTTCCTGGAGGACATAACTTGGCAGCCATCCCACCTCTCCTTCCATCCCCTTCCCTCCTTCAAAATCCAAGGCACCTAATCAACGTGCAGGTTCCAAATAGATATGATGGGGGAACGCAGGGTTGCTTCCCGGTGCAATGCCTCAAGCCGGTGGGAGATAATGCATCCGATCCCCCCTTTTGAGATAGAGCGATTCCCCCCTTCTCTCTCTCTCTCCCTACCATGCATGGTTCAAGCTTGCAACTCTAGGTACACTTGTCACCGGCTTGCTAGCAGGGCCGTACGTCAATCTATATTCCACAAAACTACCTAGTGCTTCGTGCCTCCCAAGAACTCCACGGGGTAGCCGTGTAACCCTCACTCCTCATTAGCCATGCTGACCAATTCTGTCCGGAATGGAAGCCTGTTGGTTAAAGTTACTACCGTGACCATGCATTGTGGCACGTACAAATTCTAACCTCAGTGCGGGCCCGTCGGTGTCTATCGTCAGCGTTGAAGCGATGGAAGCGCCATGGTGTTCGGCTTTTCCTCACGCATTTGACAAGGCAGAACCTATACACGATTCTCACATACAGCAGACTGGCTATGATTTTACTTTTAAAACCAGCAGCATGATTTACAGCCCAAGTTGTAGCGTGTTCCGGGGCCTGCCTGTAATAAGTAACCTACATAAATCTGCATCACGCCTCAGACCCCAGCTGCACGGAGTACGCTGATCAACTGAACTCAGCGGTCCTTGAGAGAAGCCATCCATGCGTTGCCAATGAATGGCATGGCGAGCGAAGATGACGCCGCCCACTCAGTGTGCCAGGCCAGGTACCCCAGCATCCCGCTCCTGGGCTGAAACGGACAGACCTTTCTGATTGAATACCGAACGAAGCGACAGGAAAAGATCGTTTTCCCCTTATCCTTTCCTTGGAAAGAAAGAAAGAAAGAAAGAAACAAGACGAATCATCATACTCCAATTTTTTTGATCCTGCTTTGGTCGGCCATGCAATCGAAATGATGGGGGAGGGGATTGGTTACTACCTATCTGTGTCTCGGGTCGGGTCGGCATGCCATGTACCGAGAAACTCCTCTTCCTTATGTTCGTCTGTGTGTGTATGTGTGTACTGTGTGTCATCGTCAATCTCTACCCTAATATCTACCTTTGCTTCTCCTTTGCCGCTGCGTTCCGACTGGCAAAAAAAAAATGGTCTGATGTGCTTGTGTTGAGCCATACTTCCGGGCCATTTTATGGGATGGGATGGGCTGAAACTCCGGTCATCAAAATGTGATTGCGCACTATGTCAGCTGCGAGCCTGATCGCTCCGAGGTTCATCCATGGCACCCCCTTGGAAGGCTTTCTTCGTCACCGTCTCGAGGTCCAGCATTTCTGATATTCTTTACGGTGGATAACTTGGAAGGAAGGGGCAGCAGAGACCTGGTTGGCTGACGAGTCGGCTAGAAGAAAGCATGCTGAGTTCCGACCGGGACAACAGAAGTTACATCTGAGCCCTTCCCTGTCACAAATGTATCGAATCTGGAGATCTGGAAGATCCGCTATAAGCCGTACACTGATACACACATGCTCAAGGTTGTGGAGCAGTAAGAAGCTTACAGTCGGTGCAGTGTGTGGTCTATCTCACGTCAAGTGAAAAGTGAGTGAGACGGGTGAACGGGCGGAGCGGGTGAGCATGGCATCAGCATTCTTTAAACTTTGTTCCGGACATACATTAGTACCTCACTAATACCCTTTCAGAATACCCCCCCCCCCCCACTACACACACACTCTCTCTCTTCCTGGGAGAAGAGTCGTTGAGAATGTCACACCTATGTGAAAAGCCCAGCCTAGAACTCTAAGCTTGACGACATAGAGTTTTGAAGTTGAATTGGCGTGATTGATGGTGGTTTTGGCTATCACAGTTTCCCGCGAAGGAACAGTCCGTTAGAGGCACTTTCAGCTTCGAATAGTGTTTTGTAAGTGGGGACAGAAGAGGGACGACCGAGGAAGTGGACTGCTCGCTCTTTCCCATTCCATTCTCACTATTGCTCTTTCCGTCATCCCTCTGACCGTCCGGGTAGGGAAGGAGCTCCCAGAAATGCACCATATGACGCTTCACTGCCTTGCCTTTTGCTCATCAGCCTCTACTTATTAACCACCACAGATGGGATCGTGATTGTCTTTGCATGGAGAAAGAAGGTGCTTGAGTGTGTGATCTCACCTAATCGCCTATATATCTAGTGAATCCATCGTTGATAGCTCAGTGGTGAAATTTGAATACCAAGTGGAACGAAGCCATCAACTACCTCTCTCTCTGTGTACGCACACCTTGCTTCCCACTTCACCCTTACCACCACTCCGGACCCTCCCGATTCCAGGTCTAAGCCGACTCAACCCCCTCTCAACACGGCATTTTCTCTCGATATCTATTAGATAACTCCCGTCAACCCACCCTCGCTTTGAAGAGAAAGAAAACCAAAAGCCACCAAAGCGGGGTCATCGGAGTCCCTCCAACGGGACCGGCCGACGTCACTGCACTCCGCCTGCCTAATCAAGTGAAATCATCATTGTGTTACACGAACTTGCAGACCGAGGTTCACATTTGATCCCGGCGGGCAGGCACGACGGGACAATGTGTGGAGGCACGCGGTTAGAGAAGGAACGTACCTAGCCATGGGGGGTGACAAACTTCAGGAGGGGAGTCAAGTGAGTAGTATTAAAGGTGAGTGAATTACATCAACATAGAAGGTACGTAGATAGGTCTGTCTTCCGCTCGGTTGGGCTCTGTTGGCGTCCATCAGTCCACTGGGATTGAAAAAAAAAAAAAAAAAAAAAGAAAAAAAAGAAGGGAAGAAAGGAAAGGGAAAAAAAAAAGATAGAAAGACCACCTCCACATACCTGCCAATGCGCAGAACCAAACGCGTTATCTTCTGTCGTCCACTACCTTCCACATGCGCATCCCACAAGCGCGCAAAAAACTTCACCGGCTCATGCGAACTGCGGCCAGCCAGACTCTTACTCGGGCACAGGGGAAGGAAACCAACAGGAGGCACGGCGATATGTAGTGGTTGAGCCCGATTGAGCTACCTGCGTGAAGAAAAAAATCACATGTCGTAGACTTATCCGTTCGGAGTCGTCGAAATCATGTAGAATGGGTTTGAATAGATTCTGAATTTTGGCTAGGCAGATAGGGACGTATAGAGTACGTAGGTAAGTACGCAGAAGCATGGCGGTATCATCCATGGTATCTGGGGGATGGATTGGCCTCTCTGTGAATGGTATCACAAACCTGAGCTTAAGGATACGTGTGTAGGCGACGGTGCTTGGTTTCCCCAGACTTGCGTGTTTCGAGCTTCCTGTCACAGGTCAAGTGTTACTGTCTCTTCTCATCGTTACAATATCTCTATTTTCTCTCACGGACAGTTCAAGGTTGAGCACAAATTTCCCATCAACATGAAAACAAAGAATAAAAGAATAGATCCAACAATTCATCAGTCATTGTGCAAGCAAAACCTTTCGCTCAAGTCCAATCTTCAACACCACCATCAGCAGCCCAGTCCATAGTCATCGCAGCCCAGAGATCATTATACCCCATTCCCATCCCTGTTCCCATCCCCATATTGATAGTCATACCACCCGTTCCCGACCCCATCCCCGGCATTGCCCCCGGCGGCACACTACCACTCCCCTCAACCGAGGTCTGTTGTTCACTTGCAATCTCATTCCTTGTCGTATCAATACTACCACCACTACCACTACTACCAAGACTATTCACACTCGGACTCCCCCCGAACCCAGTAAATGTAGAGTTAAAAGCAAACGTCTCGTTCCAATAGGGGTAATAGGGCTCCAAACTGCCGTCCATCATTGGACATCCGGACACGTTTGTTGAGGGGATGTGTAGGGTAGGCATGGTTGCTTGTCCCTGTAGGCTGTCTATTTCGAGAGGGATCATGGGGCAGAAATGGTCCATGCGGATGTCTAGGACTTCTTGTTGACTTTGGGAATGCTGGTGGTTGGTGGTGGTGGACTGTGTTGGTAGTGTTGGAGTTTGGAGGTGTCGATACTGGTCGTACTGTTGCTGCTGAGTTTGTGGTGATTGTTGAGGGTGTAATTGATGCTGCTCCCCCTGCTTCAAAGGGACATGATTATGAGGATTCCCTTCCTCACCAACCGCCTTCCCAGTGACAGGACAAACACCCACACCCACAACAACACCAACATCGCCCATTCTCGTATCCTTGTCCTTCCCTCTACCCATGCCAGCCCCCTCCATCCTCGCAACTCGATTCCTAAACTTCCTGTTCACCACCGCAAAGACAACCTTGCTGGCACTCAACACATCCATCCCCGTAGTTGTCGGTATCGTCGCCGGGGTGAGGCCATTCCTACTATCTTTATCCATCTTTTCAGAGGTTGACGAGATAGAAGTACCCAATCGACATAACCGATCCAAAAACCCTCCAAACTTCACCACCCTCCTCGCCGCATAATCATCCCATTCAGGACAAAACATGATGGGGAAACTCATGCGGAACCCCAAGATGGTGCTCAAAATGAGACACCCCCAGCCGATCATGGAGAAGGCGTTGATTTCGTGTGCCGAAAGTGACAAAAAGTACTCGTAGTTCTGGTGGAGGGTGGGGATCAGGTTGAGAAGCCGGCTCCCGTCGACCCGGAAGGAAGGGGGGTCTTTCTCTAACCCTGGAAGCTTGACGGAGGGCAACTTGAGTAAGGGGGCGCCTGTGAGGAAGAGACGGGTGAAGAGAGTTGTTATGCGGATTGAGGCTGACATGTAAGATGGATGTCAGTTATGAAGGCAATATGGCTGGAATGAAGGGGAAAGAAGGGAAGTGAAGGGGAAACTGAGAACGTACGTATTGATTGAAGATCAGAAGGCATCTTGACTTCCCATTCGTTTAGTTGGGCTTCCATACCTTTGATGATCATCTCGATCTGACTCTCGGTTGCTTGTGGAAGACCACCCGCACCCCTTTGCGGCTTACGTAGATCGTTTGTTTCTTCGCAGAGCTGTTGGAGACGAACTAGCCAGGGGAGGATGCGGTCTCCCTTAGTTATGCTGTACTTCTCGAGGATGTCGCAGCATTTGGAGGTATAGCTAGTGAAGGACATGGACGGTGTGCGGTTCCATGATGTTGCGAAGCTAGGTATTGTGAGTTAGTCAACTGCGTAACGAGATGCCTGGCAGTGAATGACACCTACTTTGACGCAACATAATACGTAGCCAAATAAGTTCTGATCTCCTCCAATCTTTCCGGACTTGGACCTCTCGGGCCAGTGAGCTCATCAACACCAGGATCCACATCCAGCTCCAGATCATTGACCATATCGACTGCCATCCGCACATACTGAAACGCCTGTCTGTTTTTCGGTCGAAGATGGAAGGGATACCTGGGCACGATCACTCATTAGTCACCATTACCCTTTTTCCGTTTCAAGCACTAGATGCATTACCATGTAGACAAAAAAGGGGAAAAAAAAAGGCCTTACCAAGCAACATAAACCGCCAACCCCTGCAATAACTCGAGACTCCTCTCTCCCCCGGCCACGAACTTGAGCCCCAAAATCTTCCTAAACTCCTCATCGTACAAACTATGACCCTGCAATGTCCGCGTACTGCTCGCCGCCGCCAACACAGCCAGCAGCACGAACGGCCTCTCCCTTGCTAGGGACGCCACCGTCGCTTCTTCCAGTCCCGCCTTCACCTCCTCCTTCTCGTTGATATTGTAGACGACATGATCAACCAACACACAGGGAAAATGCCACAACATGACGTTCCTGAATGTGTCCAACAGTCGTGCAGCGGAGTCGACGTTGAATTGTGGTTGGACTGAGAGGGAGGCGAGGGATCTGCTGCTTCCGCCTGGGCCCAGTCCCGCTCCCTGCCCTGCCATTCCGGTGTTCCCCTTCCCACTCCTGAACCCATCCCCAGAAGCAGACGTAGAACGACTCCCCGGTGTAGCAGCTGATGCTCCCACAGGCAAGGAGCTAGCATGGCTCGCATGGCTAGACACTACCGACCCTACTGGTTCGCCGTCAGATCCATAATCATAGTCGCAGTCGTAGGTACCGTCGTCTCCCTCGGAGCCGATCCCGGTGTTGGGATCGAGGCAAATGTGATCCATAAACCCTTCGTGGTTGAGACGGAGAGATTCCAAGCTGATGGCTATGTCGACGGAGGCGGTGGGGATGGGGACGTCGATGGTGAAGGTACGGGAAGGACCGGGGGGTGGGCTGGAGAGGGAAGATTGTTTTTGGAGGGAGGAGGGGTTTGAGGTTTTGGATGTGGTTTTAGCTGTTGTTGATGTTTTGGAGTTGGAGTTGGTCTTGCTGGTTGTTGTTGTGGAGTTTTGGTCGGCGTTTCTATGAGGGGAAGAAGGGGGTGTAAGTGTGGGAAGAGCTTTTTGGGGAGATGTCTAAGGAATTTCAGGAAAGGGTAGATACTTAGGTTGGATGAGTATTTGGGAAGTTGACTATATGTGTGTGGAAGGGTGAGTTAAGGGAAAAAGAAGGAATAGAGGACCTACATCCTCGACCCTCTAGGCCGTCTTTTTCTGGGACCAGTCTTGAAGATACACTCTCGTTTGGAAGCCAAGCACCTGAACCATACCCGATGGATTCCAAACGTTAGCGGCTATAAAAAGTGCTGTCTGAGAACCAATCCGAAGAAGAAGAAGGAGGGAAAAAAAAAAAAAAAAAAAAAAAAAAAGAGGCGAAGGCCGCATTGCAAGGCATCATAAATTCATACACCAACCAACCTTTTACATATCCCCACTTGACTGCTCTCCTGACACTTAACTTTAGCAAACCTGCAAGCTTCACAAGCATTGGCAACACGGGGCCGAAGAGGAGCCACTTCTTTTTGTGGTTGTTGTTGTTCCATGTTTCCTTCCGGGGAGTGAGACAAGTAATTGACAGTTTCTGTTTGAAACAAACAAGTTGTGGTAAATTCCTCGATCGGTCGGGTTTAGTTTGTTGACGGCCGGGTCGGGTGAGCCAACTGAAATGGCTTAAGAGATATTATGGTTGATGGAAGGATATGCTAACCCCCGAAGCCTCTCGGCATTTAAAGTAAGCTTTAGTGTGTGAACTGTTTCGTGGTATCGTTGGCAATGGTAGGGGACCAATTGGGAATCTCGCAAGTAGCGTACTCCGTTGTGTGCTGCGTGTCATGTCGCAATGTGCCGAGTCCGAGGAACACAGGGGCGGGTCTGCCGCTGGATGTGGAGGATTTTGGAGGAGATCAAAGAGGAGCCAAGGAGGAACCTGAATGGATGTCGATGGTTCTTGGTTTCCGAAGGGTCACGGAGGTTGAATGTGGAGAAATGTGACTTGTGGGGGAGACACGAAAGTTGATGGAGACGGTGAGGAGGATTGACCATTGAGATTCAGTGATCATCATGTACATAATGGCGACCCTCTGTCACACCCTCCGAACTCTAGGGGTCCCTATTATTTTTGTTCAGTCTCTCCACGTCCACAACTTAGCTCCCGCCTTGGCATATGGCACTGCCCTGATCATCAGTGGAGTTAGCACAGCCCTACAGGGCGGTGATGGTGTCATTATTAAACATGCCCGTTCATCAAGTTAAACAAATGCTGCTCGTTGAATTCCAACGGGGCGTCAATAGACACTATCGAATAAAAGGCATATCACCATCGGCTTCACACGACGGTGAACTTAAATGTATAAGACCATCCACTTGCCTAGCCTAATCGTACTCCCAACTACACTACAATACCTTGCCGCCGTTACACTTCTCCGTCCGGACGTGCCACCAAAGTAACTTAGGTCCAAAAGCTCATGCCCATCCTGTCACCATGTCCGTCAAGCCATTGGGTATCCTTTCCGACACACCTTGCCATCATAAACCATGCTCGCAAGAACCACGCTCGCGAGAGTGAATAAGAGGAAATAAAATAAGGCAAGTAAAAAAGGAACAGTATGGCCACTGAAATGATCACAACGATCATCCCAACGAAGCCGCTTCATCACACTCATTATCCATACAAATCGAATCCTTCAACAAGTCGTCTCCTCAGCGCACCTCACCAGCTCGCAAAGCGTCCTCAACAGGAACGGATCCAGCGTCACCGTCTCCTTTGGCGACAGCGCTTCGCCCTCCACCATACCCTCCCCAGTAGTAAGCTTCAGCGTCGTAACTAAACGGGTGATGCACCTTGCCAACCCGGCATGGATATCCCTTAGGGCAGTCAAGTCGCAACCAGCGCCATTGCTACTGCCGCTGCTCGTCAATACCTTTGGCACACCTCGTTTTTCGCTGTCCCCGATGAAGGGACGGCTGAAACCGCCGTCTCTGGAAGAGTAGAGCGCGCCGGAGGAGAAATTTACTGCTGCCTCGTCATTCATGCCGAGGATGCTCTCTGCTTTTCTGGGAATACGGCGCACGTTGTCGTCTGAGCCGCGTGTCGGGCTGGAAGGGTTGTGTCGGACGCTGTTGGCCTCTTTGGGAGCATGTGAAGATATGTTGGGTAGGGGAGGACAGAGGGTGCCGATGTAGTTGTAGGCGATTAGATGCGCGTAGAGGGCGTCGCAGAGGTGGTCGGTGCCGGTAGGGAAGATATTCTTGATGGGCGCCCAATCGGGGACACCAGAGGGTTTGGTTGCTCTCGGCTCCGGATAGGTATTTCCGGTCAAGTCATGGGCGTAGCTTGCGAATCTTTTGTTGTTGCGCCGGCTTTGCATTAGGTTGGGAAGGTTCCAGCGCTTGCGTGACTTGACGTTGAGGCTAGAGAAGGTGAAGACCGACTCGTTGTCGTCATCGTCGACACTGTTGCCGGGCTTTCTAACCTGGTATCTGAGCTTTCTAGAGTACGTCCGTATCGTCTCGATGGACAGGCTGGAGGTGAGCAATGTGGTTTCTGGAAAACACGAGGTTGAGATGCGCAGAGTGTTCAGCACATCCGCAGGCAAGGGAACACCAGCCACGGGACTGTTTGCAACGAAACTAGGAGCCCGAACACGGCCGACCGCTGGCTCCGTATGCGATCGAATCCAGTCTTGAAGGTGCCCAGTCGAAGTCTTCGAAATTAACTGTGAGCGTAGATCCTGGACGCTGTCCCCCGAAGGCCGTTCATCCTTCACACTTTCCTTCCTGCTCACTCCAACCTCCTGAGGCAACGTCCGCGAGTGCGGAACCTTCTTCTTTATATATAGCTCAAGTGACGGCCTTTTGGAGGCATCGATGATCGTCCTGCCTCCGGGTGTCGAAAGTACTGGTAACGTCGGAGAAGGGAGCAGCGTTATACCCCTTGTCTGGACAATGCTATCCTGTAAACTGTCCGCATCGCTGGCAAGCCCTTCCTGTTGACAGAATGCCGGTACCGCTGGGGGTTTCTGAACATGGAGTCGTCTTAGGGATGACTTCCTTTTGGGCACAACTGGCGGATGGATGTCAATTATGCGAGGCTTTCCTATGCAAGACTGTCCGGAAGATGTGCGCGGACGATCCCCGTTCTCAGTCAAGTGAACCGGCAATGCCACTGGGACTGCATTGGGGAAAGGTGTCGTCGGCGAACTAGGAGAGGATGGCACATCCTTGCCGAGAATCGTCTCGTTAAATCCACGGGCTGTTTGCGGCCGAGGGGGCATATAACGGTCGTTGACCATGTCGGGCTCTTCTGATCCTGAAATCGGGTCTGGCTCATCATCGAACCACGTTCCTTGGCGGTTGGGAGTCGGTTTCGATGAAGTGGAAGAGGGGGAGTGGGGCTTGCTCGAAAATGGCGAAGAGCTGCGACCGGAGATCGAGGTAGTCGTTGTGACCACTGATTGCTGGCGGGTTCTGATCGAAGGTGGCATCATCTCTACGGATGAATCACTGGAGGTGTCAGAAGAGTCGTCTGCGGCCCCAAATTGCTCATGGTACCGGGGCATGCCTGCCGCCAATCTGCGCTCTGTGCCCTCGTGAAGCGATTGCCGGACACTCTGAGGGGCCACAGATTTGTAATGGGATGAAGTGCGAGAGGAGGTTCGGCGGTGGTGGTGGTTTGGTCCCTGCCCTTGGATTGTCATTTGATCTGATGTTCGATACGGATAGTCCTCATCCACGTTGGTCGCTGTTGCGAGACCTTGGCATGGGTAACCGGCGGTCATAGACTTGGTGTTAAAGAAAACCTCGGATTCCTCCAAGCTCTGGGCCAGGAGCTCAGGGAAGTTAAAGTCTTTGAACTGCGTCTCAACCTCCATTTTGATAGCTGTGCCGGGGGAAGAAGTCGAAAAGGGTTTGGTGGCGGACTGTCTTGACGACACCGGACGAGAAGAACCTTGAAGTAAACCGGACGTCAACCGAAGGGTAGAAGCAGAAGCTTAGCTGCCACCTCTGCCCGCCACCTTGTCAATACAGGATGCAGGTCGCAGGAAGGACGCAGGACGAGCAACTCGTGGTCAAGTCAGATCGTTGTTGGGGTTAAGTGAAGTGGTCATGAATCCCTGCGCTGATCGCCTGTTGATATGATGCCGGGGCATATCCCTGCCACGGCGAAGGGAGCTTGCCTCGTACAAGAGCGCGTACGGTGTTGGAAGGTATGGGCGCTGGGTGGAAGTGGATGGGAAACGGTGATTAGTGTGACAGTGACACCGGGTTCTAGCAGAAATGCCGATACACCAAGTCTGCCGTGTAATGTTTTGGAACAGTCCTTCCAATCCCGCCTCTAACAGCGAAACAAGCTAGACAGTGGCCTACCAGATAAAGTTAGAAAGATAAGCAACTGAGTGGTCAAGAAAGGTCGGGGTGAGCAATCGCGAACCAAGCGGACATGACGTTACGGGGCAGTCGCTTTTTCTTTGGGGGAAGACCGCAACTGACAAGCGTCATTCGCATAGAATGTTTGGGTACCGAGCAGCATGGGTCATCATCGTTGGACTTACACTATATAACGTTGAGTTTCATGTGGTGATACCCGGCGCTGTCAGAACAGTTAAGCCGACAGGGCGTAGCAGATTCGAGTAAGACAGTGGATGGAATGGCGCCCTTGGTTCCCAACACGCGAGGGATCGAGAAGGTGTCTAGAGCCGAGACAGTGATATAGATGTCGAAGACACTGCGTGTGCCCTGAGAGCGCGGACACGAGATCGCTGTGGTATGGAATCTTGATGGAGGAGCTGTGGCCGGCTTACGGCCATTGAAAACAAGAACAGGAAATGTTCCGTTGTGTCGTGGCTTATTTTGTCCGCAGCGACATATTGAGGCCAGCGAGCTGGACAAGAAAAAGAAAGGAGATGGGGGCCAACAATTGGAGGCGTAATCAGGCGTACTGTGAAGGTCGCGATGCAGGGGCAAGATAGTAGCACGAACTGGTATCCAGCTCACATCGACGAACTCTTGCGTGAGCTTTCCACTTGGCCGTCGGCGGCAGACATGAAAAGTTATCAATCACGGACGGATAGACACAGATACCGCGTCTTGGATACCCGTCAGTTCAACCAAGCCAGCCATATCGTCTTAGCATAGGTGTCGCCGAGGGAAATTCAAGGGTGAAGCAGCCACTTCCCGAACAATATTTCGTGTTCACCGTGACATGGTGGCATGTTGATGGCTTGTTCCTGTCCGGATAGTGTCTTGTCTGCTCCAGACTTGACGGTGAGTGGATTGGTGGGCAGAGGCGATTCGCAAAGAGCCACTACGAGCCATGAGGTGTGCATCATTCAACATAAATCGGATGTCGTCTTCCCCTTATCCCATCGGTTTGCGAGGGCGAACCAATGGAGAAGGGATCGCCGAGAAAAAGGAATGTTGAGAAAGAGGGGAAAGGGTCTGGAGTGACGACAGACGCAGTGGGGGAAAAAATAAAAATAAACTAGAGGATTGAGGGGAACTACCTTGGCAAGGTGGTGTGGTACTATCTTGGATTCCCTTGCCCTTTGTTGGCCTCCAATTGCTCACAAACCGCATCTGAGCTCAGGAACAACCGCGAGATTTGCGCAGGGGAAAACAGACAAGAGAGAAACAATGGCACCTCGTGATGGATATAGTA